ATCCAAATTCGGACTCGAACATGGTCAAAATTGGATTCCAAAAGCGATCATGAAAATACGTACTACAATTCGAGGACATGAATGCGCATCAAGAAATGTGCACAAAAGCTCTCGCTAGAAAGACACGCACATATGTAAGTGTACAAAAGAATGCACAAAAGTACACACGCAAAAGTGCATTCGCAAAAAGGATCATGAAAACACAAACTACAATCCTAGGACATTAACACAAATCAACAGACATGCACAAGCACACTCGCTCAAATGGACATGCACAAACGTACATGTAAAAAAACATGAGCAAAAATGCTTCGCAACAACGTTCTTAAAAACACGAACTTCAATACTAGGAATTTAATATGCATCAACAAACAACAGCAAAACCACTAGATAAAAATGATACAGTGGAGTGTAGAAATAAAACTCTACGTTTACGTTTACGTGTATTTTTTTTTTTTGGATTAATTTATTTTCTGTTTGAATTGGTGGATTTGGTATCTTATAGGTACAAATCGAAAATTAGGTGTCCAGGAAGCAAAAATGATCAAAGAGAAAGAAAAGAGTTGCAATTAGGAAAATAAAATCAAATTAGAAGAGAGAATCCCTCAAAATCTTTGGTAGTGTACGTCCACGAAGTCGAGCATAACTTTCTCATTCGGACTTCAAATCAACTGGTTCCGGCGGCATTAGAAAGCTATTTCAGCTACAATTCCTGTCTAATGTGAATAATCCAAATTCGGACTCGAACATGGTCAAAATTGGATTCCAAAAGCGATCATTATAATACGTACTACAGTTCGAGGACATGAATGCGCATCAAGAAACGTGCACAAAAACTCTCGCTAGAAAGATACGCACATAAGTAAGTGTATAAAAGCATGCACAAAAGTACTCACGCAAAAGTGCATTTGCAAAAAGGATCATGAAAACACAAACTACAATCCTAGGACATTAATACAAGTCAACAAACATGCACAAGCACACTCGCTCAAATGGACATGCACTACTAGAAAAACCAGATATTGTGACGCCCTATATTGTCATTATAGCCGCTTATTGTGACGCTTAACTTATTGTGACGCCCTATTAAAGCGTCACATAGGTGGCCGTCATAATATCCTTTTGTGACGAGAAAAGGCGTCTCAAAAGACATACTGGTACGACGCTATAATCGTCCCAAATGTATTTATATTGTGACGCTTTTACGGGTCACTATATATTTTTTTTAACTGCGATAATTACCCATTTTTATGACAATTGTAGGCGTCTCAAAATATGGATATAATGATGTCTTTGAATGTGTCACTTATTGGGTTTTGATGACGCTTTAATATGATTTATAATATTCTTCTTACTCTATACTGTAGTTTTCGTACTCTTAACACAATATAAAACATTTATATACATACATAACCATAAATATAAAAATTCAAACACGCAAAAAAAGATATGCAAGCTTCTTCCATGATTAAAAGAAAACATTTATATAGATACATTAACAAAGAGTATTCCTGATCAAATTGAAGTCATTAACTTGAAGGATCAAAATACAAAAGTATTTGAATAACAGTCATGATTCTTCATTTACTGTAAAAGAAAACTTCTAGGAATACTTAACTAAATTGATGGCAAACTAGCTACTTAACTTGAGGCAACTTCAAAATGCATCCAAAAGTATTCCATCTTGGACATAAAGCTCATACACAATTTGTCTTCATTGTTCTTTATCCATTGAACGTAACCTATTAAAATAACCACATATCAGTAGTTCGAACAAAAAAAATAAACAAAAGAATATATAATATATCATAAGTAAATATTGGGCAAGCAATCGTCAAACATCCAATAACATCACTTATATTTTGAAAATAACGAAACACAACCATGTTTATTGTTTTCCATTACTGCAAAATCAATATCATATCAACAATTAAGAAAATAATGATTATTATAGTTTGATAATAATAAAATATACTAGATACTCAAATTAAAAGTATCAAACTTAAGGAACATACAAAATGAACAGACTGCAGCTGCATAGCAGGACTTCTCAGCAGCTATATTTGTATAAAAGAACCAATACTTGTTTCTACTTGAAAATACTGTAAATTGCAATCAAAAGATGCTGACAATTCAACATCTAGAACATAAACAAGAAAAATAATTATAAATAAGTAAATGGTGAAAATACAAACGAATTCAGAAGTCAGTAAAAATATAAATTATAATCTATAAGATAGGTAAACTAAATATTTATAAAAAAAAATCAGCTAATTACCATTCAAATTTCTTATATTATGTGCATTAGTTCTTCTTCTTGCCAAGTAAGGCGTGTACGAGATAAGAGGCATAATCATTCTTCACATTTCCTTCAGTTCATAAAAGTAAACTTTTCAAGCAAATCTCGACCCTATGAATGTTGAATTGTAAATAAAAGAGATTAAGTTATTACTTTAGAAAAACACAGGGTATCAGGCTATCATCCTTAAATATAAGAATACATTTATAATACACATTTCTTTTGTTCCCTCCCACATATGTGATGATAAGTTTTGGACTCATTCTGCTTCTAAGAGACATAGTTAATTCTTTACAAATTCGATTATAACTTCACAATGAACTCTTAATACTGGCATGTATGTAAATAAAATAACAACTCATCCTAAAACATGCACATAAACATAACAAAATCACAGTTATTAAACCCAATTGACTGAAAAATAAGTAAGATGTTAATACAACTAATATTTTGACTCAAGTGCTTCCAAACTAAAAAAAAAAAAACAAGTGTTCGTCAATCATGAAAATATAGAAATTAATTAATAGTGGCTGAAAATTATAAAAAAAAATACATATGGCAATTGAAATAGCACGGGAGGCATAGACGAAATCCAGTAATCCTAAATCTTCCGTTCACAATGACAGCATCAAAATAGAATGTAAACCTGATTCACCGTTATATAGCATAGGACTCTTATACGATGTTAGAATTTCCAAAAAGATGTCGATTGAGAGAGAGAGAGAGAGAGTTTTCATACCAATTATTCTTTTAGAGTTCCCAAATCTGGAGAGATAACGAATCGTTTGAGCACTCCAACCAATAGAGCAAGAAGAAGGATTGGGGATTTTGGCGATTTCTTTACAAGCGTTACATTAATAACGTTTTTAGAATTAAAAAAGGGAAAAAAATTAAGATGTAAAATATAATAGACGCTTTGTACTTGAGCCGTCACAAAATGATGGATTTTGAGACGATTTCTGAAAGGTGCCACATTAGAGCGTCACTAAAGATGATTTTTCTAGTAGTGATGCACAAACGTACATGTAAAAAAACATGAGCAAAAGTGCATTCGCAACAACGTTCTTAAAAACACGAACTTCAATACTAGGACTTTAATACGCATCAACAAACAACAACAAAAACACTAGATAAAAATGATACAGTGGAGTGTAGAAATAAAACTCTATGTTTACGTTTACGTGTATTTTGTTTTTTGGATTAATTTATTTTCTGTTTGAATTGGTGGATTTGGTATTTATAGGTACAAATCGAAAATAAGGTGTCCGGGAAGCAAAAATGATCAAAGAGAAAGAAAAGAGTTGCAATTAGGAAAATAAAATCAAATTAGCAGAGAGAATCCCTCAAAATCTTTGGTAGTGTACGTCCACAAAGTCGAGCATAACTTTCTCATCCGGACTCCAAATCAACTGGTTCCGGCGGCATTAGAAAGCTATTTCAGCTGGCTACAATTCTTGTCTAACGTGAAAAATCCAAATTCGGACTCGAACATGGTCAAAATTAGATTCCAAAAGCGATCATGAAAATACGTACTACAGTTCGAGGACATGAATGCGCATCAAGAAACGTGCACAAAAAAATCTCGCTAGAAAGATACGCACATAAGTAAGTGTACAAAAGAATGCACAAAAGTACTCACGCAAAAGTGCATTCGCAAAAAGGATCATGAAAACACAAACTACAATCCTAGGACATTAATACAAATCAACAAACATGCACAAGCACACTCGCTCAAATGGACATGCACAAACGTACATGTAAAAAAATATGAGCAAAAGTGCATTCGCAACAACGTTCTTAAAAACACGAACTTCAATACTAGGAATTTAATATGCATCAACAAACAACAGCAAAAACACTAGATAAAAATGATACAGTGGAGTGTAGAAATAAAACTCTACGTTTACGTTTACGTGTATTTTTTTTTTTGGATTAATTTATTTTCTGTTTGAATTGGTGGATTTGGTATCTTATAGGTACAAATCGAAAATTAGGTGTCCAGGAAGCAAAAATGATCAAAGAGAAAGAAAAGAGTTGCAATTAGGAAAATAAAATCAAACTAGAAGAGAGAATCCCTCAAAATCTTTGGTAGTGTACGTCCACGAAGTCGAGCATAACTTTCTCATCCGGACTCCAAATCAACTTGTTCCGGCAGCATTAGAAAGCTATTTCAGCTGGCTACGTTTCCTGTCTAACGTGAAAAATCCAAATTCGGACTGGAACATGGTCAAAATTAGATTCCAAAAGCGATCATGAAAATACGTACTACAGTTCGAGGACATGAATGCGCATCAAGAAACGAGCACAAAAAACTCTCGCTAGAAAGATACGCACATAAGTAAGTGTACAAAAGCATGCACAAAAGTACTCACGCAAAAGTGCATTCGCAAAAAGGATCATGAAAACACAAACTACAATCCTAGGACATTAATACAAATCAACAAACATGCACAAGCACACTCGATCAAAAGGACATGCACAAACGTACAGGTAAAAAAACATGCGCAAAAGTGCATTCGCAACAACGTTCTTAAAAACACGAACTACTTTACAGTGGACTTTAATACGCATCAATAAACAACAGCAAAAACACTAGATAAAATAGATACAGTGGAGTGTAGAAATAAAACTCTACGTTTACGTTTACGTGGATTTTTGTGACGCCCACTACCGAAATACACTCTACTTTTTTTTTTTTTTCCATTACAATAAATAAATACAATGACTTCCGATAAATACAATGTCTCCTACTTAATTTCTCAACAATAATATCAAATACACGTGACAACCAAATGCCACAACTAATCTCGTATTCATAGTTCTCGAATTACAATCATTCTTAAACACAACACTAGATTAAACTCTCTAAGATCTTTGAATAACTTCTACTCCTAAGAGTCATCAACAATATCGTCCACTAATGCACCTGTTACTGAGAATAAGAAGAAAAATAAAGGAGGAGTAAGTCCAAGTGGACTTAGTGAGGAGTACAAGGGAAAAACAGTCGAATCAAATAATAATCACAATATAAGTGTTCAAGGAATTGGGGATGGAATTGGAGTTGAAATTGGACCATCTAGAGAATGATTGTCCGATAAGGAATAAGAGGCCAAAGTATAAGGCACATCAATATGATCAGAATCGACAATATAATCAATATGTACAGGTAAAGAACAATATTCAACGGGTAATTCCCGGATATCAATTATGAATTTCGTGGAGATTCCCACGATAACAATTTCGGATATCAAATATGAGACCATGGAGATTCCCATGGTAACAATTTGTTCATGTACCTGTACCTGCCTTGTGACTCCCTTAGCCGTAACTACCTTATAACACCGATCAGGGAGCTACCCTGCTAATCGATCAATAGGCATGCCCGGGCGCATGCCGATTCAGCCATCAGCACAGTTAACCTCCAACTATGCCAATGGTCTGAATCCAATATGGGTACCGTCGAAGAGACCATCCACCGTCGGCCCAATACCGCCCAGCAGTCTTTTTCGAACAGCCCCGGGCCCAACTGGTCAATTATCCTTAGGGCGTCCCCAAAGGAATCAATAATATAGAGATACGGATATGCTTCCGACTATCTCAATTTACATTTTGAATCCCCATAATGAATTCCAATAACAAGTGATAATATCTTGTGGTCACAAAATCACAAGTCAAGAAGGGTACTAAACGAATGATTTAGTGGATAAATACAATAATCCTAAATGGACCAAGAGTCGGGAAAAGAACGATTTACGTTCAATGAACCACTTTAGAAACAAATCATAGTGAATCATTATAGAAGAAGTGGTTCCAACTAGTATACAAGTAAAGATGTGAAACAATTCCGAATTGATAGAGAAACGAATTGAAACTCGTTGAATTATTCAAGTCGATAAAAGAACTCAATTGAGTAATCAAGGAATCGGGATGAGAAATTACTCGAATAATTCGCGAATCACGATGAGAACTTATTAAGTTCCAGGAAAAGGATTTCGAAACGATCAAAGATTGTAATAGCTCAAGAATCAACAATTCTCGGAAATCAAATTAGTTCACAGGATAGGCGACAATAAATATATATTGAATTTAAAAGACGAGTAATAAGAATAATAAACCGAACGATACGAGTGCTCGGCATATATTCTGTTTTTCAGAAAGAATAGGCAAGGGGTAGGGATCCTCACCTGAAGTCCAATGCAAGTGCTATAAGAACACCTTACTCTCGAGTCATGCTCAAGTCTTGAATGAGAGCTTTAGTACGCTCGACACCTATAAACATATTCATCACTTAACAAGATTCCAAATGCTAATATAATCGTATTATTCCACTATATCACATAGTCAATTTCTTGAAACATTGTTACGAATGTCTTGCTGCCACAGCTTATTCGAACAATCGTTACGATCACCTTACTTATCCGAATAACCTAAACGATATATCGAATTAAAGCTAACATCAGTGTCTACAGGTTTACTGAAGACCCTGAGCCCAAATAATCGACCTAACACAGTAATAACAGCCTCGGAAGATGAGTACATGAAACTGCCAGGTTTATTTTTTTTTTTTTTTTTTTGGAAAATTGTTGTTGGCACAGTTTGTTTTAAAAATCATAACAATTTGTTAAGTTATCCAAATTGTCCAAATAATACACCAAATTGAACCTTACAATGTAAACTACAAGTTCTCAGAAGACACACAACTCAAATTATTAGCTCAACATAGCAAACACGGCCCCGTAAGAAGAATACTCAAAACTGCCCTGTTTTAACAGATTTACAGCCGTCTAATTCTCATCTCTAAAAGTCTATAAACCTTGCTCAAATTAGAAGCAATTTGACACTTACTAATATATCTCGCGGTCCTCCACGAGTTTCGTCAAGGAATGATTCCCAAATTCGCACTCCAAACTCTCCAAATTCTGCTCCGAAAACAGGTGCGGCAGCAGTTCTTCATTTCTCTGAATTTTGCCGACATAACTGTCGGGTTTAATTCGGTTATATATGATAGTCGAAATTTGGGGAAAAGATGATATTGCTATAGTATTCGAGCTGCTCTACAACTTTTGAGAAGAAACAAATCCGAAATTCAAAGCCTAAGTACCTCAAATCGACTCCTAAAGTTCAGGGGCAGGCTGCACTTCTTGCCGTCTTCCGACCACCGGTGACCTCCGCCGGCGAAATACTTCACCATCGGGAAGCTTGCTTCTCAAGTTTCCCAACAATACTTTCGGATCGTCAAGACTCCATTGATAAAACCTTCTTGCAGCCCCTCTCTCTGAAGAATCAATTAGGCGCTTTCTTCTCTAATCTCCCAATCCTTCAACCTAAACTTAATTACTCAAAATCCTCTCGTAGAACTTGATTTTTCCAACAATTTCTATGATTCCATTCAAGAATCGATAGAGAGAGAGAGGAGAGAGCAGGCGAGAGAGATGATGAGAGAGTGAGGAGTTAGTGAGTATATAAAGAAACGAAGAGAAGAGAAATTCATCGGATAAAGATGACGAATAAGCCGACTCAGCAATTTATCTACGAGGCTCTCTCTGCAATTCCAATTAATTGCACAGCATCGGTTCAATCATATCCAATTCATAAACTTGATTGCCAAGTTTATGAAATTATTATAACACTTATCCCCCAACTTTTCTATTAATAACACATCAGCCCCAAATCTCATTATAAAGTACAATAAACTCTTGTGTATATATATAACATAAGAATAAACTACGGGGTGTTACAATTTTTTTTTTGGATTAATTTATTTTCTGTTTGAATTGGTGGATTTTGTATCTTATAGGTACAAATCGAAAATAGGGGTGTCTAGGAAGCAAAAATGATCAAAGAGAAAGAAAAGAGTTGCAATTAGGAAAATAAAATCAAATTAGAAGAGAGAATCCCTCAACATCTTTGGTAGTGTACGTCCACGAAGTCGAGCATAACTTTCTCATCCGGACTCCAAATCAACTGGTTCCGGCGGCATTAGAAAGCTATTTCAGATGGCTACAATTCCTGTCGAATGTGAAAAATCCAAATTCGGATCAAAATTTGATTCCAAAAGCGATCATGAAAATACGTACTACAGTTCGAGGACATGAATGCGCATCAAGAAACGTGCACAAAAACACTCGCTAGAAAGATACGCACATAAGTAAGTGTACAAAAGCATGCACAAAAGTACTCACGCAAAAGTGCATTCGCAAAAAGGATCATGAAAACACAAACTACAATCCTAGGACATTAATACAAATCAACAAACATGCACAAGCACAGTCGCTCAAATGGACATGCACAAACGTACATGTAAAAAAACATGCGCAAAACTGCATTCGCAACAACGTTCTTTAAAACACGAACTACAATAATAGGACTTTAATACGCATCAACAAACAACAGCAAAAACACTAGATAAAAATGATACAGTGAAGTGTAGAAATAAAACTCTACGTTTACGTTTACGTGTATTTTTTTTTTTGGATTAATTTATTTTCTGTTTGAATTGGTGGATTTGGTATCTTATAGGTACAAATCGAAAATTAGGTGTCCAGGAGAAAAAATGATCAAAGAGAAAGAAAAGAGTTGCAATTAGGAAAATAAAATCAAATTAGAAGAGAGAATCCCTCAAAATCTTTGGTAGTGTACGTCCACGAAGTCGAGCATAACTTTCTCATCCGGACTCCAAATCAACTGGTTCCGGCGGCATTAGAAAATTATTTCAGCTGGCTATAATTCCTGTGTAACATGAAAAATCCATATTCGGACTCGAACATGGTCAAAATTGGATTCCAAAAGCGATCATGAAAATACGTACTAAAATTCGAGGACATGAATGCGCATCAAGAAACGTGCACAAAAACTCTCGCTAGAAAGATATGCACATAAGTAAGTGTACAAAAGCATGCACAAAAGTACTCACGCAAAAGTGCATTCGCAAAAAAGATCATGAAAACACAAACTACAATCCTAGGACATTAATACAAATCAACAAACATGCACAAGCACACTCGCTCAAATGGACATGCACAAACGTACATGTAAAAAAACATGAGCAAAAGTGCAATCGCAACAACGTTCTTAAAAACACGAACTACAATACTAGGACTTTAATACGCATCAACAAACAACAGCAAAAACACTAGATAAAAATGATACAATGAAGTGTAGAAATAAAACTCTACGTTTACGTTTATGTGTATTTTTTTTTGGATTAATTTATTTTCTGTTTGAATTGGTGGATTTGGTATCTTATAGGTACAAATCGAAAATTAGGTGTCCAGAAAGCAAAAATGATCAAAGAGAAAGAAAAGAGTTGCAATTAGGAAAATAAAATCAAATTAGAAGAGAGAATCCCTGAAAATCTTTGGTAGTGAACGTCCACAAAGTCGAGCATAACTTTCTCATCCGGACTCCAAATCAACTGGTTCCGGCGGCATCAGAAAGCTATTTCAGCTGGCTTCAATTCCCGTCTAACGTGAAAAATCCAAATTCGGACTCGAACATAGTCAAAATTAGATTCCAAAAGCGATCATGAAAATATGTACTACAGTTCGAGGACATGAATGCGCATCAAGAAACGTGCACAAAAAACTCTCGCTAAAAAGATACGCACATAAGTAAGTGTACAAAAGCATGCACAAAAGTACTCACGCAAAAGTGCATTCGCAAAAAGGATCATGAAAACACAAACTACAATCGTAGGACATTAATACAAATCAACAAACATGCACAAGCACACTCGCTCAAATGTGCATGCACAAACGTACATGTAAAAAAATATGAGCAAAAGTGCATTCGCAACAACGTTCTTAAAAACACGAACTTCAATACTAGGAATTTAATATGCATCAACAAACAACAGCAAAAACACTAGATAAAAATGATACAGTGGAGTGTAGAAATAAAACTCTTTGTTTACGTTTACGTGTATTTTTTTTTTTGGATTAATTTATTTTCTGTTTGAATTGGTGGATTTGGTATCTCATAGGTACAAATCGAAAATTAGGTGTCCAGGAAGCAAAAATGATCAAAGAGAAAGAAAAGAGTTGCAATTAGGAAAATAAAATCAAATTAGAAGAGAGAATCCCTCAACATCTTTGGTAGTGTACGTCCACGAAGTCGAGCATAACTTTCTCATCCGGACTCCAAATCAACTGGTTCCGGCGGCATTAGAAAGCTATTTCAGATGGCTACAATTCCTGTGTAACATGAAAAATCCAAATTCGGACTCGAACATGGTCAAAATTAGATTCCAAAAGCGATCATGAAAATACGTACTACAGTTCGAGGACATGAATGCGCATCAAGAAACGTGCACAAAAACACTCTCTAGAAAGATACGCACATAAGTAAGTGTACAAAAGCATGCACAAAAGTACTCACGCAAAAGTGCATTCGCAAAAAGGATCATGAAAACACAAACTACAATCCTAGGACATTAATACAAATCAACAAACATGCACAAGCACAGTCGCTCAAATGGACATGCACAAACGTACATGTAAAAAAACATGCGCAAAACTGCATTCGCAACAACGTTCTTTAAAACACGAACTACAATACTAGGACTTTAATACGCATCAACAAACAACAGCAAAAACACTAGATAAAAATGATACAGTGGAGTGTAGAAATAAAACTCTACGTTTACGTTTACGTGTATTTTTTTTTTTTGGATTAATTTATTTTCTGTTTGAATTGGTGGATTTGGTATCTTATAGGTACAATTCATAAATTAGGTGTCCAGGAGAAAAAATGATCAAAGAGAAAGAAAAGAGTTGCAATTAGGAAAATAAAATCAAATTAGAAGAGAGAATCCCTCAAAATCTTTGGTAGTGTACGTCCACGAAGTCGAGCATAACTTTCTCATCCGGACTCCAAATCAACTGGTTCCGGCGGCATTAGAAAGCTATTTCAGCAAGCTATAGTTCCTGTGTAACATGAAAAATCCATATTCGGACTCGAACATGGTCAAAATTGGATTCCAAAAGCGATCATGAAAATACGTACTAAAATTCGAGGACATGAATGCGCATCAAGAAACGTGCACAAAAACTCTCGCTAGAAAGATATGCACATAAGTAAGTGTACAAAAGCATGCACAAAAGTACTCACGCAAAAGTGCATTCGCAAAAAGGATCATGAAAACACAAACTACAATCCTAGGACATTAATACAAATTAACAAACATGCACAAGCACACTCGCTCAAATGGACATGCACAAACGTACATGTAAAAAAACATGAGCAAAAGTGCAATCGCAACAACGTTCTTAAAAACACGAACTACAATACTAGGACTTTAATACGCATCAACAAACAACAGCAAAAACACTAGATAAAAATGATACAATGAAGTGTAGAAATAAAACTCTACGTTTACGTTTACGTGTATTTTTTTTTGGATTAATTTATTTTCTGTTTGAATTGGTGGATTTGGTATCTTATAGGTACAAATCGAAAATTAGGTGTCCAGGAAGCAAAAATGATCAAAGAGAAAGAAAAGAGTTGCAATTAGGAAAATAAAATCAAATTAGAAGAGAGAATCCCTGAAAATCTTTGGTAGTGTACGTCCACAAAGTCGAGCATAACATTCTCATCCGGACTCCAAATCAACTGGTTCCGGCGGCAATAGAAAGCTATTTCAGCTGGCTACATTTCCTGTCTAACGTGAAAAATCCAAATTCGGACAGGAACATGGTCAAAATTAGATTCCAAAAGCGATCATGAAAATACGTACTACAGTTCGAGGACATGAATGCGCATCAAGAAACGTGCACAAAAAACTCTCGCTCGAAAGATACGCACATAAGTAAGTGTACAAAAGCCATGCACAAAATTACTCACGCAAAAGTGCATTCGCAAAAAGGATCATGAAAACACAAACTACAATCGTAGGACATTAATACAAATCAACAAACATGCACAAGCACACTCGCTCAAATGGGCATGCACAAACGTACATGTAAAAAAATATGAGCAAAAGTGCATTCGCAACAACGTTCTTAAAAACACGAACTTCAATACTAGGAATTTAATATGCATCAACAAACAACAGAAAAAACACTAGATAAAAATGATACAGTGGAGTGTAGAAATAAAACTCTTTGTTTACGTTTACGTGTATTTTTTTTTTTTTGGATTAATTTATTTTCTGTTTGAATTGGTGGATTTGGTATCTCATAGGTACAAATCGAAAATTAGGTGTCCAGGAAGCAAAAATGATCAAAGAGAAAGAAAAGAGTTGCAATTAGGAAAATAAAATCAAATTAGAAGAGAGAATCCCTCAAAATCTTTGGTAGTGTACGTCCACGAAGTCGAGCATAACTTTCTCATCCGGACTCAAAATCAACTGGTTCCGGCGGCATTAGAAAGCTATTTCAGCTGGCTACATTTCCTGTCTAACGTGAAAAATCCAAATTCGGACTCGAACATGGTAAAAATTAGATCCAAAAGCGATCATGAAAATATGTACTACAGTTCGAGGACATGAATGCGCATCAAGAAACGTGCACAAAAAACTCTCGCTACAAAGATACGCACATAAGTAAGTGTACAAAAGCATGCACAAAAGTACTCACGCAAAAGTGCATTCGCAAAAAGGATCATGAA